CACTTTATCCATCAGAAGAAACCCCCCACTGTGGTCCAAAGTCTCAGTTGTTCTTGATGTTTGATTAGGTAAATTATTGACAAGGTTTGACTTCTACCCAAACCTTAAAAGGAAACTGGTTTTACTGACTGGCATGTAGTTACATTGGTGTTTCAGGGCGTGTCTAACGGCTGGCCCAAGAGAAAAAAGTCAGGATATATGTTGCCTTTGATTATCTATCTATCTATCTGTCTGTCTGTCTAGCTATCTAGCAGTGTTTTGTTTTTATTTTTATACTGTATGTAGCTATCGTTTATGCTAACAGTAGGCTTTAGCTATGTTCTTGTTTGTAATCAGTTAGAAATGAAATTACTGAATGCTTTTGTTATGTTGTGTAACACGTAGTTTCGCATAGACCTCAACAGTTGGCCCTCGGTCCTAGAGAAGTGTGACTCTGTGTGAATAACCCTGTGATGTGATTGCACCTACTCCAACTGGATTATGCAACTTCATACTTGGCCTGAGATCAAACTGAATGTTTATACTGCTCTGGGGAATGTGCTGCTCCTCTGACAAATTAAGACAAACTACACAGTTTCTTATCAGAATTAACACACAACACTAACTGATATTGGACTGCAGGTTTTTATGTGTGCTGTATTGCTCAGCAGATAAAGCCAAAGGGCCCTTTAGGTTAGTGTTTGGGGTGTGGTAGACTGAGCTGGCACCTTATGCCCACGATTATTGTTTTAATAAACAGTAAATACAGAAGGTTTACCCCCACAGATAAAAAGACCAGGTTTTCACTAACATGATTATTTCCATTTGCTGGGACTACAGCGAAGATAAACGTGGTAAATACTGGGCCCCAGCTAAGAATACAAAAACACTTGAATCATAATATTTTTTCCTCAAGACTGAGTAGATTTTTTAAAACGTTAAAAAAAAAAGTTTAACAAAGAAGCTCCAGTTGTCTTCCATGAGGGAATTGTTTTTAATGTTTTTGTTTTTTTATACCATTTAAAGATATTAGCCTGGCCATCATGGCTCTGGTCGCCTCTCACCACAGTGGAACTACATAGAGATTGTGAGAGTAAAAGCAGTGCCGTGGTAAATGGGCAATAAACTTTCTGCACCCTGGACTCAGCCCTAGCTGTAAAAAGCCAATGACTATGGAGAGCTGACTGCCAGTCTCTCCCTGTTTCTGTTTCTCTGCTCACAGAGGAATCAGTGTTTTTTTTCTCACACCATGATGACCAAAGCTGTCTGACTCACAGCTAGCTATTTTTCAGGTCATTTCTTTCTATTTTTCTAAACTCCTGAGAAATACTGTGTTCCTTTGTGTTTAGATGAGAAAATAGCTGAAGGACTTTTTCATTAAGTTTGATTGACAGGTCGGAGTTTTGATTGTACATACGCACAACCATCAGCCCTTAAGGTCAGATACTGACTGTGTTTGTCTTGTTCTTAAGGAAGAAGCACGTGCGCCGTGATGTGTTTGCTGACAATCCATTGACAACTTCAAAGCCGACCGATTCCTGTATTTGGGGAAAAACTTCAGCTTTGTCTTACATTTGAAACTTATTTGTGTAGCATTTGAATAGTTTCTGGTGCAGCTGCACTTTCTCACGCCTCACTTCATGTCAGTCTTCGAAGTTCATCTGGTCTTTGGTTTGTCTTGGAAGAACACTGACACACTTTATTTTTTGACATTAATGCAACACATCAAGTGTTTTCAGCTAACTGTTGCTGTTTGTTGTCTGTTATTGGTTTGTATTGAGTGTTGTACTTAAGTCCTTGGTGTTTCAGTCCAAGGTCCAAGTTAGTAAAGGAGAAGGAAGTTCAGTTTGAGTCCGATTCCCAGAGCTACAGTAACCATCTGACCTAGAAGTCTTTCACACATTCCAAATACCCTTGTTTGAGTTTTCATAATTCTAGTTTGGCTGTTTTGGGAATACTCTGCAACAACCCCGCCCACTTCAAATACTGACCAATCACACCACCGATGTCAGAAAACATCCGAGAAAAAGGTTCCGCTGAACTCCCAAACCAGCTATTCAGGAACAAATGACATCATTTTTGTGTGAAAGAATAAAAGTCTTCATGTTTTCAACTCAAGATTTTTGACTCACAGTTAAACTTACTGAAAAGAAATCTATAAATATATTAGTTAACCTCAAGGTACCTAAGTCAGTCTCAGTGTCACATTGACTGGTTTCACACTGGTTTGGTCAACGTGAACACAGAGAATTCAAGCCTCTGATGACATTTTTTAAAAAAAGGACCAAGTGAAGTCCCTCGGTCTCTACTGTTATACACAAAAGCTTGTGGCTCTGACTGGAGTTCCCATGTTTTAAGTCATTAAGCAGAAGTTGGAGTCAAGTCAGAGCTGAGTCTCTGGTGTTTTTAGTTTGAGCAGGTCTTTGCATTTTCACAGGAAGAGAAAGATGTCACTGCTGCTCACCCTGTTACCTCACACTCCTCAGAGTGTGGCTGACTGTCTTATACAGTAGACCTGATGAGAACATCCTGTTAATTTGTTGAGCTGCAGAGTTTCCTTTGCTTAATGACTTTACAGGATGTACTGCAGGGTTTGTTTAAAGGGATGGGCTGTTTAATAAGTGCTGAACAATATTATATTTTCATCCTAAATTTCACTTGATCACTTTTTCCAGGCAACATTCCAGGCCCTTGCCCCTACCCCCTGAAATGAATACTATAACTTTTAACAACTATTAAATTATCCATTTGTAAATTACTAGAAAATGTGTCTGTGTTATTCACAGCTGTTCATTCTTTTGGTTGTATTACTGCCACCTACTGGAATGTTTACCACAGAAACTCAATGTTTTTTGCAAAAGATGAAATGCTCTTAAAAAACACTCCTAAAAAATCTTTAAAGGTGATAATGATATAATCATCCATGATCCAACCAGCTGGATCTGAATCACATGAGCTCCCAGCTGATTCTGACAGACCACAGCTACATCCCAAGGCTCCTCAGTCAAGAAAATAGTCTTTTTTTAATTTTTCCTCTTCTGCTCAGCTTTTGCCCTTAACCATAAATGAGCTTTAAAAGGAGCGATGTGGTCATAGCCTTGGACCTGACTACTGCTAGTACAATCTCATAGCCTGTGCGCCTGTGTTCCAAACCACACAAGAGAAGCCATTTTCTTCTGATTCCTCTTTTATTGGGCTCATAAATTTGCCAATATATTCCAAATTGGTAAACACCCATTTTAGTTTAAACTGCTGGGAACACAGTGTTGGAAAACTCCAGAGTGAGATGACGCACAGTGGTGGGAAAGTTGACCTGCTTCCCATGCAGTTAAACTGTGTCGTAGTGGAAGACATGCTGAAATCCTTTGTATGCATTAGGTATTAGAAGAACAAATATAACAATTTTCCATGTTAACAATCACACTGCTCCACCTGCTCTGCACCAACCTGCAAATAAACACTGGTAGCAGCAGCTACTGTTCATGTCGGATTGGTGCTGGTTGATTATGCAGTCGTAGAGAGCGGCCAAGAGAAACTAGATATTATGTTTGTCAGGGGGCCAAAAACATAACACCAAAATTATGGTGTTATGTTTTCTTTTCCTCTGTGACAGAACATATTTAATGTACCATTCATAATTAGAGACCTCTAAATTCCACTCCATCAATGTGGCCAAAAAATAAACACAAACAAACTCCTCAAAGGAGTGAAGGAAGATAGAAAATTGTTCTTATAAACATTTGAACGGTTTTTAGATTCCTGAACAGTAATGCATCAATTTACATGTTACATTTTACCGAGATATTTTGAAGACTTATTTTTGTAGAAAGATATTAGATAAATATGTTTAGATAAGAAGCAACTACAAAATCACTTCAAATAAACACACATGGCTACAAGTTGCCAAAAGTTTCTTTAATGTTTTGCAAGATGTCTAGAATGAGGTAGCAACGAGCTAACATACATCCACAGTGGCTAAACGGTATTAGTTATACATAGGTTAATCAAATCCAAGCAAAAGCAATTTAAAAAAACAATATGCATAAAATTTAATGAACATGAATCTAAAAGTCCAGCTGATAAGTTAAGATATTTAGAAGATATTTTAGAACATATTTAAGTAGACTAACGATGAGCCATGAGAAAAAGAGCCAAAGAGAGCCAACAGTTGCTGAACATTTCTCAAAAAATCTAAATAAAAATAAACATTTCCAGCCTGCTGTCATTATAAAAACACTAGTAAGTAGACGTTGATGGCACCTTTTATAGCTACCAAAATGTGGGCCGTGAGCCTGGCCTTTGGAAGAGCTAAAAGTTGTGTGACTGGTGAAATAAGAAATTCTAAGGTTACTGTATGTACATTGAATCTTTAACACTGTTTACAACTGTGGGAATGGACATAACAGTGGACTGTGGACTCTCCTGGTGACAGACACTGACTGTACAGGAGAGAAAGTTGACGTTAGTGGCAGCATTATTTGCTCCTACAGGACAAAAGTCAACGTGAGAGCGTTTTCTCAGACAGTGATTTACAGCATTGGCTGTCAGAGTACAGAGATGTGACGGAAATACTGCACGCTCTAGTGCAGCAGTTTCACACTTGGAAACTCTTATCATAATATTAGCATTAACCATAACATTAGCTGTAACATCTGTATGTTACACAAATGTCTTGTATTCACATGTAGAATCACTTTTACTATTGTTCTTTAGGGTCAAACACAAGAGAGCTCTTATTTGTGCTCAAAAACATGAGTTGAGTTCAGTGTGAGTTTACAATGGTTTGGTTTTGTGATCAGCAGTCGGGATAAAAGAGCACCGTTGTGTACTGGTTGTTGACTTGTGCCTTTGTGCGTTTGCTGTGTTGTGTGTGTGGCCTGGCAGCGGTCAGGACTGTGCTCTCACTTTCCAGTCCTTTCACTGCCGAATCACACACAGACCCACAACAGCAATGCCTTCTGTTGTTTTATTGTCGTTTCCTCTGAGACCTAAGCTCTTGTATTTTCTGCTCTTTCACACAGGGATCAGGAGACTGACAGGAGGCTGAAAAATGTGAGTCACCTTTATTTATTTATCCAAATGTTATTTAATGTGAGAGACTGTTTTATAACTCAACTGTCAAATGCCAGATAATCAAATGCTCAAAGGAGCACAGTGAAGCTTCAAACTGGCTGCCCATAGCCAGTAGTTTGCCAAGATCAAGTCAGAGACATGGGTTAAGTACAGTCCTATGTATTTATAATGTGCAGCAAAATATCTTAAAATTGCCTAAAAAAAACCATCAAAGTCTATGTAACAGGTAAAGAAGAGGGTGAATATACCTTAAAGTTAGTTTGAAGAATAAGAGCTAGTAGTTGCCTGAGCTAAAAGCTAACCATAACTAACTTATCATCCACAAACTGTGATAAAGTCACATGGGGAAAGCTATGACAGCTGTCTATGGAAGCCTAGCTGGACATTTTACCTACGATTTGTAAAATGTGACAGTGGTTTCACCTCTTATTTTTATTTGTACCTTTAGGTTAAGGTTTCTTTTTTTCCTGGGTTGACAGTTGTGAGGCCTGAGGCTTAGTATTAAATGTTCCTGAAAAGCATTTATAACCAGACTCACAGATCAAAGCTGTTACATTTCAAATGTAATTAAAATAATTGCAGGAGATGCCGTGTCTCTCATCACAGCTTCATGATTGTTTTTTCCCGTATATATCTTCACGAGCAGTCATCACCTTTCTGTGTCTGCGTGACATTAAAGTGCTGAGATGCCAGTTTGATGTTGTAATGGGGGACCAGCATGAATGTTGAACTGCAGCAACAACAACGAGCGGCTGCAACTGTTAATCAGTTTATATATTTAACCCTTTGACGTTTTTGCTACAATTGTAAGAATGATATATATTGCTAAATTACCTTGTAGTCATTCCTGGTTATTTTGTTTTTGTTTTTTTGTTTGGTTTTGGTGCTAGTTTTGGCATTTGGTTTTAGCAGTCTTGGCTAATTTGAATGGACAATATCTTAAGACTAATGTACAGTTTTGTTTTTTGGAAAACTATTCGAGCCAGCTGAAATGTGTGCCAATATTTCTATATTTTTTTATTATCCGTTAGCCAATTATTAGCATTGTGTGGTTACATTTTGATTTCTCTATGTATTTTTGTATATTTTATTTCAGTAATTTGGATTGTCATCAGTAATCTGATGTTTTCTTTCTTTCATTTTTTCCCCTTTCCAGGTGCTGATCACTATTTACTGGCTTGGCAGAAGAGCTCAGTGTGACAGTTTCTATGATGGGCCTTACCTGAACTTCAAGGCCTTTGAGGGATTATTAGGGACAGCACTGTACAAGGTACAATCAACAAAAACATCCTCAACAGAACATATTTGGTTAAAGACTTTTTGAAATATTTAGTCACCTCTGTGGCTCAGCTGTGAGCCTGCACATCACTGCTGTATGAACCCTGTAACAAAAGTCTAACTTTCCTTTTCCAGAAAGAATAAATAGCATAAATAAAAAGTATTTTTTTCTCTGTGTAATTATCCCTGTATCCCTCTGGTATTTGGACTCTGGCTGGAGGTCACAGGTCGCTGACCACTAAAACCAAATATGTGCTCCAAGTCAAAAATGACCTGATCCCTTGACTGGGCTATTTTAGTCATGTTTACACCACAGGGCACAGTTTCAAACAGTGAACAACAGAAACATCGATGGTGCACACTTTCTTCAAATCTTGTTTCCTTATCCTCTACTCATGCCCATGTTGGATTTGGCACTTTGTTTTCACTCAGATTTATAGTTAGTGGCGTGGGAGTCCTCTATAATTCATCTGACTGCTGGGACTTTACAGTAATAGCACTTGATTACTGCACGTCTTGTTCATTCAGCCACTGTAATCTAAGTTCAGTGGAACAGTGGCCAAGTCTGGGTTTAGTTTGTGGACTTGTATTGTCTAGTAGGAGGCAGTGGATTACAGATCTGAAAATGATTTTAACTTTACGGTGGCTGACAACTTTGGCTTTGTTGTTTGTGTCCCTGCTGGTCACAGGCTGTGTGTTTATGTGCAGTGACATTGTTTCCGTGCTGTAAACAAACACAGTCATCGACTGTCAGAGACGCCTGGATCCTTGCTCTGTTTGTTTGGACAGAAATGGCAGTGAATAGAAAACAATGAGGTTAATCCAGTGAAAGTCCAGCAGGCCTTTTCACTTATAGACCCTAGAGAGTGAAGTGTTTGTGTTTGAACTTGTTGAATCTGCTAGCATGGGAAGGTCTAGGAAAATCTGACTTGGAAGCAAAGCTTTTAGCCATTTTTTATCCATCTAAATACAAATGATGCCAACCTTTTCTTTGAATGTTTAAGATAATTGCATCGTTTAGATATTCCACAATTGGTTTTAAAATTTCCTTTTTCTTACTTTAGCTTTCTCCTTTGTTATATTTTAGAATTTCAATCTTGGTCAAACTTTGTCATCCTTCAGCAAACGTTTTAACTTTCAGTTTTCCTGATGTCTTATCTAAAAGTTTATCACTATTAGCTATATCTTTGTATACCTTTTAAAAAGGTTCAATTAAAAGGTTTAATTTTGGTTAGCTGTTATTCATCATTTGACTAATCTCTTTTCCTAAGGCTTTAGTTTTGTTCTTAGTTTAGAGAAACCTCTGTTGATCTTTATAAAGCCCAGACATTGACATATACAGCTCTGGCGTTAAGCTCTACTGTACAATATATCTAAACACAACAACAGTACAACTCACAGCCAAGTGTTAAATGCTGTGTTTAATTTGAATCTCCTCGGCCGTGCTCTTATTTGTTTTTCTTTCTGTTTATGTGACAAGGCTCTGCACGAGTCGGCCACTCAGAAAGGCAGCAGTGTCCGAGACAGTGGTTTTGGTGATAGTTGGTACTCAGAGCGAGAGGAGATCTGCCAGCTCAGAGAAGTAGGAGGAGAAGGAGGACGGAGCAGCTGCAGCAGCGGTGGCAGCGGCAGTGGACACAGGAGAGACGACTCCCTGGACAGTTTGGACTCTTTAGGTTCCAGACCTCACAGTATCTCCTCTGATACCACTCTTAAAGGCAGCAGTGAGGGTAGGAGACTTTATATGTTTAATGATGATTCATATAATCACAGTCATATAAACTTTCTAACCCGGTCTTTTTTTCTCCCATTCAAACATTTAAAACTTTGCGCTCTTGTTTTATGGATGTTTACCTTCGACCCAGCTGGTAAATCTGTGACCATTAAAGCTTTTCCACATTCACGTTATACCACTATCTCTGTGAAGAACTTCAAATATTTGAACTGGCTAAATATGCTTCACAAGAACCCTAAAGTTCACTCCCACTCATGAAAACAAACACCTATCTCCATCTAGTGGTGTGTTTTAAAAATACAATATATGCGGTTTGTGTTCAGGCAAGTTCCACTCTGAACATCACGTCTGTTGTTTTAATATTGGTGGAATGACCATAGAGCATATTTTTCAGTCTCTTTGTTTCAATCCCAATAAATACAGACAATATTATAGTTAACAGCGTTAGATAACAGAAGTGTTTTTGGAACAAACAGCTGCTGTGGACATGAGAAAGAATGTCAGGACTGTGGAGAGGTCATGAACAAAATAAATATGAGATGCCAAAAATAATCAAATGGAGGCAGGCGCTGACATTTTTGGCATAATAACCAAGGTCTTATGAAGTCAACTGGAACCGAAACCTATTATTATGATCATGAGGTTTTAACCTGGGAGTTAATTTAATTTAGTTAATGCAAAAACACATGTTTAACCCTGGGTTAAGACAGAGCCTTGACCTCTGCATCTGGACTAGGGATAGGATAGTGAGGCTGTTCTGAAGGCTGGAATGGATCACAGTGGTAACACAGATACAGTATGTCCCCAATGAAGTGACCGGTTGGTCTATTTCTGCTAAGTTTATTTTGTCTGGTGGTTGTTAGTGTTGACCTCCAGTTAGACCTTAACACAACACTGTAAACTGTAAAGAACTCGTGTCTTGTCGATGACAGAAGTCAAGTTCAGTTTAAAAGAGTTCTTGTCACTGATGGCAGTTCAAGCCCAGTTCTCTATACAGAGACAGTAGTGGGACATTCCACAGTCGTCCACACCAGCTTGTAAATGAGGACGGAGGAATGTCCTCACCTCTGACTCTGCACTCTTTAAAGTCCTGCCAGAAAACACAACACACTCCCCTCCATCTTCTCTCTCCTAACCCTTTTTTTTCCTTGTAAACGATCAAACTTCTCTCTCTCTGTTTGTCCATTAAGTCTTCTGATCTCTCTATGATTCCAGGCTGTTGCAGTGACCCGGAAGCAGACTCTGAACACAGGATGGCTGACAGCAAGGACAACATCAGTTACCGCCGCTCGGCCGTCATCGCACCCAAGACCACCACCCAGTTCAACCAGTTCCTGCCCACCAAAGACAAATCGTCAGGGTACATCCCTCCTCCTCTGAGGAAGAAACGGGCCGAACGAAATGAGGATAATCGGCGCAGTTGGGCAAATCCCATCTACACTGAGGAGGACGGGACCCTCACCAGGTACTGGTCCAACACATAATTTGGATCCATTTGAATCCATTTTCCTGGCTGGTTTTTATAATTCATCTAAAGTTTGTGCTCAAAATTACAAACCTGATTTAAAAAAAAAATTGGTACACGTTTCAAAAAAAAAAAGTGTCAAAAAGTAAAAGCTGTGGTGTGGTAACGCCTTTGAACATGAATTTATACGTCAGTTAGATTAAGGTTCAAGGGCGTGACCAGACTTTGACATTCTTGTCAGTTGTTGCAGTTTTAGGAGGTGTGGGTTTGTAGACACTGGCTGTTGTTTGACGTTGTCTTCTCCATCACTGTTGGTGCTGTTGTTGTTGTCTGTGAATGGTTGATGGCCTTGCGCTTCATTTTGGCTCAACCACGGCAGGGAAACAGCGCTTTCCACTGGTTGCTGTGGAAACAGTCAAACATCCCAGAGTGCTTTGCCTGCGGCTCCCCTGCAGTGGGCTTATGAGTATGACAGTGGCAGTGAATCTGACGTAGACCGACCGGATCCAGATCTGGTATTGGATGACTTGGCTAGTAGACGCTTCCACAGCTCACCCCTGGTTCCCCCCACCAATTATGCCCTTCCCATCAGCCCTCTGATGGGTGTAAGGGGAGCTGAGGGTGGCCCCTGGACCAAGGTCAAAATGGCTCCCAGTGTGACCGCTCAGCAGAATGTGACCTGCGCCAGGTCAGAGAACCAGAGGCTTCATTGTGATTTGATTTGCCTGCTTAACGACACCAGACTTGATGCCTTTGTTACCTTCAGTTTGCATGGTTGATGGTAACCATGAGAAAGATTTGTGGTGTGGTGTGATGCAGTTAACAGTGCTTCGTCCTGGGTTTGGTTGTGTTTTTTTATTTTTTTTGTTGGTTGCGTTGTGTTTTTGCAGTTTGAAGTTTTGCTGTGACGTGCCATCATTTGCTCCATCTGCGTTTTTTTCTGAGCCTGCCGTTTGGTTTAGAGCTTGCACTGGTTTCCTAATCCAATCCCTCCGTCATCTCATGTGAAGCTGTTGTGCTCCTGGAATGTTCTCCCCTCTGCGTGACTTTTTCGTACTGCTGTTTATTCACACCTGTGCTTGGCTGTCTCTTGTGAGCAGCAGCAGCGTCAACACCGAGGAATTGCCGAACCCTCGGCACAGCCCCGCGAAGGTGGACCACCACCGAGCCGTGCGCACTGACAGCCTGTTCAGAGAGATTTACGATGACTCTGACGACGAAGAAGACGACGTGGGCTATGCTGACCCTGTCCAGGATGATCTCTACAGCCGTAAGATCAGTGTCACACCGCAACCTGCCGCCAACGTACCGTATGACAAGTTTTTGCCAAAGTTTTGGACGCCTGAGGAAGACGATCACGTACAGAAGATCAAACTGGGATCTCAGAGGAGACCCTGGTACAGAAAAATGCAAGGCTTCAGGTGTGTGCGGGCCTAAGAACACAGGACATTGTCACACACACACACTCTACCTTAGATCACCTGCTGTACTCTACGGCTGTGGTGTGTGTGTGTAAGACTAGAGACGCATCTGTTTTTTTATGGTATTTGACAAATAAACACTGCTCTACTTTCACTTATGTACATTCATGTATACAGTTTATTTATAGAAAAATTATATATATATAATTTAAATCTAAAATTAATATTTTTTGATATTATTATTATTATATATTATATTAATGTTATAATTTCAATAAAAATAGAAAAAGAGAGCTGTCCTTTTGACACCAAAAGGCTAAAATGTAGCAAATCATTATAGAACCTTTTCTAATGTTCAACAGATGGAAACGGTTTCCTACTGACATACAGTGTGAGACTGTATCAGGCTCAGGTCTTACCCACACACACCGATTTCTACTAAACTGCTTCCTGTCTTAATTCTGCTCTTCTGACTTGTGTTCCCGTTCAGCTTCCACACTTGAAATTAAAACTATCCTCTCTTTTCTTTCTCTGTCCCTACTACTCGTTCCCGTCTTTCCCTCCTCTGCCCTCTTCCCTCTGTAGCTGTAAGAAGACAAGCTCTTCCTCAGACGATTCTGACTGTGACTCCGGTCCACGCACCTCCTCTGCCCCTCCTTCCTGCGGCCCCTCCCCCTTTCACTCCCACTCACACAGGGCCTCGGCTCCTGCAACCCTCATTGTGGGGAAAAGGTCGATACGGCTGCATGATAATGACAATGACAATAAAGGGATGTCCTAAAACATTTGGGTTCTAAAGGAGCACAAACAACGGATGTAGAAGTCTATATTTTCATATAAACATGATGCAAAGTTTCATATTTTGGAACGTTTTCTCCTTGATGAGACCTACAATTTGTCAATTTCGATTGAAAAACAAACAAGTATTTATTGTTTCTCAAAGTTTTCATTCGTAGGGAGTGTCACACAAGAAGTCTTTTCTTGCAAAAAGGAAATCCAGGAAAAGCATCATCAGGAATAGTTTTTTCCGTAAACCTCTTCGGCTTAACCGGGAAAAATAGGAAACAACAGAGATGAGAACAGAGGGCAAGGCTAAACATAGAAAGAATAAATAAGATGCACAAAAGTTGCACAAACACAGATTTCAAGCACATTTGTTTTACACAAAACCTTAATCAAGCTGATTAAGATTTTTAATTAAATGAATCAAAAGATGAAATTGATGTAACAGGACTGTTTGTTTTCAATTTAAATGTACACAAAATAAGCTTTTATTAAGAAGTAAACATTCTGACTTTCATTATACACTTCCTACATCCACTTGATTTGACTGCATCCTTTATGAACAGCTGATTTTTAATATACTAACGATACCTAAACATATATATATATATATATATATATATATAAGCTGCTGCAGTTGCTCTAACTTGCTTGAATTGACTTCTGTAGAAACAGGCTGCGTCTCAGCATCTTCTACTTTATCACAGCTTATTTGATAGCGGTGTGATTTAAAAAAAAACCATCTGATTTTGATCATTAAAATCACATCAGTGGAGCCTTGCTGTCTTCTTTACCTTCTCCTCTCTCTGATCTGTCATTCCATTCACATGCACGCACTCATCACCTCTCTGCCCTTTTTTCTCTTCTTTTGCCCAACCTGCAGCCCTCACATCCAAGCACACTCTCCCCCACAGTTACCCATCTTACAGCCCACTCTTTTCGGGCCTGCCCAGCTAGAGTTTGCCCCTGTGGACCCTGCCTCAGGCCCTAAGCTCATCAAAGGTGAGAGGTGGCATCTCCTGGGCCGCAACGACCCCCGGGAACCCCCAGATCCCTTTGATTATGACAGTATGTCCCCTCACATGGAGAATGACGACATGTTTGCCAGGCGGACTCTGGCCTTCCACCCCAACACAGACATGGCTATGACAAAAACACAGCTGTGTAAAAGGCGTCGTCGCTACACGTCTGAGCCACAGCTCAACATTATCACCCAACAGCCAGGACGCGAAGACGCCGAGGAGGATGAATATCCCAACATAGAGCAGGACGACGTGGTGTACCGCAAGGAAAAAACTGAGCAGACTCAGCGACAAAGACCACTCTCCGGAGCCCCCGACAACTACGCACCCATGCCTATCCCAGAACCTTGGTCTCTGCCTCCAGATCTCAAAGCCAGACTCCTGTGTCCACCGTGTCCTCTGACCCACAGAGTCTCCTTAAATAAAGAAAACCGTGTTCTGAAAGAGATGCGTCCAAAAACAGATGACATGTTGGTCCGTAAGTTTGGGAGTTGCTCTGATCAGAGCCCGTCGGCAATTCAAATGATGATGACTCCGTCGTTGCCTTCTTCTTGTAGTGACAGTGACCTGCAGAAGTGGCAGGAGATCAGAGAAGCCAGTCAGATCAGATATAAGAAAAAGCGAATGGTTGAAATGCTTGCTGCTCTTAAGCTGTAGAACCAGATTTAGTAGTGCCTGCTGCTTCAACTTTACTCTGACAGAGTGTTCTGTTACTGTCTTTCATTTTTATTTAAAGGATAGTTCATCTTCCCTGGTTTAATAACTGAATCACAGAGCACATGTTAATCAAGTCCAGGACATTGATATAAAGTTGCCTTTTGTTTGCAGAAGCTCTTTATGTCTGTACCACAATAAACAAAACTGACATTAGTGAAGATGGATTGTAGCCAAAGGAACCTGATTTGTTGGCTCACTTGAATTGATGTTATAAATGGATTGAGAAATAACTCATTCGAAACAAAGTTGCCTTCGTAGTTATGATCTACTTCCACTGCGTCACTACATAGGCAGCATTTTCCGGATGAATTGCTTTTTTAAAGTGTGATTTCATCGCAAATTTCATCAATCGCATTGTCTGTGAATTCTGGATTGTACGTTGTTTTTCTGTCCATATCTGACTAGTTTGTCTAAAACATGTCATATAATAAAAAAGTGAAGCTGCGTTAGTGATGAAGCTTTGCGTCAGACTGACCATTTGTTGAACTTCCACACTACAGCAACACGACTTTGACCAGAGTACTGACTGTTTTCCTCAGCACGCGGGAACTCCACACTGACGTGTGAAGCTCAGAGTGCAGCGGCAGCAGCAACACGGCAGTGTGGAAATACTGAGTAACATCCAGACACATCATGTACCATCATGCACAACAGTCCTGTTGATTCCAGCATCAGACCTATAGAAATTCCCAAGGGCTTAGAACGAGGGTGTGACATGTGGACTCCATAGAAACCGGGACACAAATCTACGGAGCAGTGTTTGCACATTTACACAGACATACAGGCATTCAACAAAGCAGGCATTTAAACCACCGTCGAGCCCATCTGGATTTACTTCACGTCCATATGCTGAGTCCCGCTCCGTCTGACATCATGCCGCAGTTTGTAGAAAGGCCACATTGTTTTGGGAGACGTTCATGTCCACACACCTCCTGGGTCAGACTTTAGGGAGAGGAGAGGTGAGACTTCACTGAAGGCATTCTTCTCCTCCGTACACCTTGAACTTTATCCTCATTTGAAAACAGAACAAACAAGAGCAGCCATCTATTAAAATATGAATGGACTTTCTCCAACAATGTCTCAGTAATGTTTTTAGATTCTCAAAAATGAACACAGTCTGGTTTCTGTGCTGCTCTTTGACAGTAAACTTAAACCTGAGTCAATCAATCAATAAAACTATTATAAACTCATGATTATTTACCGTTATGTATTGGTCCCCTCAATTTAATAATTAATAATAATTATTATTAATTATTAAAATGGTTCTCTTTTTGGGCAAACCAGACTGAATGACTAAATTCTATATTCAGTTTTTGATCATTTTGGATAAATTTCTGATAAGTATTTCCACCCTAATATTTTTCTTTTTATTTAACAATTATATTATTTTTAACATTTTGTCATACATATCATATATTTTTATCTATAATTTTACTACTACTATATCCTACTACTATAGTCTACTATATCCTATAATTGTTTTCTTGGAGGCATGGATGTGAAGCTGACCTTCACCCTGCAACTCGTGTCTACTATAGGTTTAGACAAGAGCTCTAAACCTTTGGGTCAACACTGCCCCCTACTGATTTTCTCTCCCTAGGACTTTAACCCAAAAATGTTGTGAGAACAAAACAAAAACAGAACAATCCAGACAGAGGGCAGCATAGAGCCAATACACCAAACATTTACTACATTACTGACACTATGACTTTTATTTTATTTTATTTACAGAATATATGAGAAAGGGGTTTCTAACAGCGACGTTTTTATTGTTGCTGTAATTTTAACAAAAAGAATGTATCAGCTTCATATGACACGAAGAAATATTTAATCCCTACTGCGTCCCTCGTCAAGGTTTGGTCTCATCCCGGAATAAAAAAAAAACCCTGCAGAGATTTGATTTTGTTTGTCTGTGGTTTTTTTTTGGTTTTCTAGAAACAACCAAACTGAGGAGAGTACGGACGATGGGTGAGTCGATCTGGGAATGTGGCACCTCATTTACTCATGGCCTGGTACACTCACCGACTCCTGCTTTTGTCGTCTCTGTTTTTCCACACACTAACTACTAAATGCTGACATGCGACAACCTGCATTGTGTTGAGGTTCAGGGTGGAGCGTGGGGCGGTGAGGTGAGGGGCTGTAAGTCCACAAAGCTCTGAGGACAAAAACAGTAGGATGAGGACAATAGCAGTTAGCTGGGTCATCTCCCCAAACTGTACTGTGTGTCCGGTCATAACAAACTGATGGTGAAGTGAAACAGTAAGTTAGGCTTTTCATAGGCGTTGATCGTCTGCATGGAGGGAAATGCTTTGATTTTCATTACTAACAAGGAAACTGTGGTGCAAACTAACACGTGGATGAAGACTGTTCTTTTTTTCGTTCTTATTTCAGCTTTAACATCGGACAATATTTATAATCACTTCCAAGGGTTCCATGAACCTCAGCTGTACCTGCTGTCTCAGATTCTGTTACGATTTCCTCTTCCTCCACAGGAGTAAATCCACCAGTGACCTCCCTGTTAATCCATCCATCTTACGGCAGCTCAGCTACGAAGAGATGGAGAAGTTCCGTGAGCAGCAGAAGGCAAATGATGATGTCTGGGAGGATGTGAGTACCAGTGGAGGACCTGTTTGAACACGACATGAGCTGAACAACCAAACAACAACCAAACACTGGCAGGATTATTGTACTGAACGTGTTTCGCAGTTGTGTGAACAGTCGTTACAACACGGTGTGGAAGCCCAAATCCCAAGGCACTGAAGCTGCTGCTCGTTCTGATTTATAGTTCGCATTGTTCAAGTCAGGAAACAACACATGCTGTAAATATCATGACAGATTGAATTCCCTTGATAGGACAATCACTGTAAGTGGTGTGGAATTAGACTGCTTAGTAAAAATAGACTTTCAAAGTATTACAGAGGAGGACATTAAACCAAAACCAACTTGGACATTTCTGTGCAAGTCTTAAATACATATGAAAATGTAGTGTATTAGTGTATTAATGTATTATGTATAAATGTTTATATTAAAATGTAAAAAAAAGGATCTGCTCAAATGTTGTTAGATCTGTCAGACTGTTCATGAACTACTGTTCAGTATTAATATGAGTTTGTAATAAAAATTAGCTTTAGATAACAGTTACCACAAGTAAAGATGAGTTTGGCACGTACTGTAGGGCTAAATTATACTGCAGTAGTTAAAGTGAATCTACTCACGTACAACTTGAATCATCCATTCTCTATTTTAGCTACAGATGCTTAGCTTTGTCAAGTCAAAACAATAATAATTCAAAGGACATACGTGTAGCTTCATGTACGACAGCAGCCAAGACAGCCGTGTGTTTATCAGAACTTTTATTAGTGTCATGTCAAAATGGTGGAACCAGAATAAAACAGCATTTAGGTCACACAGTCCCTAATCCACAGGAGAGTGGAGGCAGGAGGAGCTTGGAGGACACAAATAGAACACCTTCAGAGTGAAGACTTTTTCCTTTTTTTCTGTCTGTGGCCCCTCCACTCCTCTGTACAGTGACTCATTCATGCAGCCCAACACCACCAACACTGTTGGGTTTATCTAGAATCTGAGCTGAACAGGTTTGAAGCGATGCATGACCTGCTGTGATGTAACGTGGGTTCTCTTTCTCCGCAGGCCTTGAGCAAATGGAAGACCAGGCGCAAGAGCGTCAACTCTGACATTGTGAAGAAGAAAGAGGAGCGTGAGAAGATAGAGCAGATCACTTTTGGCAACAGCAGAAGGTCTAAGACCTTCAAGGAGATGCAAGAGGAGAGGTAGGAGAGATTTACAGACAAGACAGTAACTTTATCTGAATCATTTTACTGTTTTATATCATTTTACTCTCAGATTTAAACCTGTAGTTTGTCTTAAGGAGGAAGGAGATGTTCTTCAGGTACACAGTTGATGTAGCAGATAATGACAAATGTCTCTGTAGATGGTGTGAACATTTAACAAAGTCATGACCTTAAGACTGCTTTTCAACCTGTGACCCTCATCAAGCTATTTTTGGCTAGGTGATAGCTTTTTCTGCGTCATAGTTCTGCTTAGCTGTTTATGGCTTGATACATTTTTTCCATCCTTACATTTTTTCCATTTTTCACCGTTGCCACATTTCAAAAACAGTTTAAGCCTCTTAAGCTATTTTTGCTAAAAAGGAAAAAACTTGAACTCCACATGAACTTTCCTGAGAAACTTGATGATTAATAATATGATTAATTGTGGAAAGGTACAGTCAGCTAAAGTTAAACGCAAAAAAAAAAAAATTGAGTTTTTTTTAGAGATGTAACCCTCCTTCTCCTGTGACATGAGCTTGGACCTAAAACCTACATGTCCTGATTGGTGTCTTGGACACTGATCTAAAACCTTGGGGACTTGACTCAAACTGGACCAGTACACAGTGATCTCTTCAGTCATTGGCTCTCTTTACCTGTTAGGACTTTAATGTTGTTACTCCTTGGATTTTTTTTTGCCTATCTGATTGTGTTTCCTCATGTCCACACCCTCAGAGAAAGTAAAGCCACAGGCAGTCGTCTTGCATCGCTCTCTTACACAGACAACGACGACGTATTTGAGAGACCTGTCATCTCCCCTCGCACCCGAACCCTTCCTGCAAGGAGCTACACTATTGACACTTCCTACTTTTCTTCTGAGCCTTCGCTGAAAGAAGAGGAACCTCCTACGGCTGCTCCAGCTCGTGGCCGCGCTGCTTCTCCTCAGCCTACACAGACAGTGAACGCTGTAGACAGTCGTACAGAGACCAACATCACCACAACAACCAACACTTCCATCACTCCAGGCCTCATCACCTCCACCCGCAGGTCTCAGCTTGCTGCAGCTGCACCCCCTGAAAGGAGGCTACTCTCTGAAGATAAGAAAACAACCAGGACCGAGGAGGTGACCAAGATAGTCACCGACTCCTTTAGCTCCGTGCAGAGGGTTTCAGAGCCCAGGCGCTCAATGTGGGCCAAGCAGACCGAGCTGGAGGCCCCCTCTTCTGGTGCTTTTTCTAAACAACAGCAACAAATAAAGCCTTCTCCCCCTCTCAGCTCCATGGAAGCCAAACCTCCTGCAGTGTCTCAGGTTTCTGCCTCCCTCCCCAGGAGCTACCAGAGATCAGATAGCGCACGTATAACCTCAGTCATCGCACCAAAGCCTTTTGGGACCCAGTCCAGTCGGCTCAGCTCACTTTCCCGAGCCTCTACCGTGAGTATTGGATCATGCCACAGCAGAGCACAGATGATAGTCTTTAACAGGCTTTGTGGAGCTGCTTGGAGGCCCATGAATTTCAAGCATAAATAAAGTGCCTTAAACTTGAAAATTGTTACTTTATTTTAACTCTTAGATAGATTACTCTAAGATAGCAGGATATTAGCCCTTACATAGTTTGTCTAAATAGCAGGAAGTTAACAAAAATACTTAAAAAGAACATACATTTGAGCAGTAGGCACTGTGGTTGTACCAACTTAAGTATTATTAGTAGTTTTGCCAACTGTACCATCTGATAACTGTATAAATAATGAATGGGGGCAGTGCTTTTGTAATGCTGATTGGCTTCAGATGCTAATCAGCATTTTTACCTTTTTGACAGATCTGTTTATTACAATTAAATCAAGAAGATAATCGATATTTAAATACCTTAATGCATTTATTATTTCAACACATTTTATAAAAACAGAATTCTACTGTTCCTTTTTCAACCTGTATCATTTCGACTCTTCATCAGATGGATGATTCCTACAAGCGAGTCAACGGTGACGTGAACACTTCCAAAAAGACATCGGTTCCGAGTCGCTACCATGCATTCATGACCTCTGAGGACGAGGCCCAGTCCAGCTCAGCCCACAGCAGTGAGGATGAAGAGGAGGAGGAGGAAGAGCAGCAGCAGTGGAATGGGAGCGGAGTGAAGAGTGTCACCTCCACGCAGACTGTGGTCTCCACTCAGAGCGTCAAGAGTGCAGCTCCAGTCACTGCTGCTCCAGACACACAAAACAAACAGGTAGAAAGTTTGCCAAAATGTTTGTTGTAATTTAAAAAAACAGTTT